CTCAGATGCTCTCCAATACAATTTGACGTCAATTGGATGTCTCAATGGAAGTTTGTTTATAGCATCTTGAAGTTCTTGCAACCTCATTGGAAGTTCTTCTGGTTCAGGTTGGTATCCGAACAATCCAACTCCTTTTGGAGCTGTGTACTTCTTTTGTACTAGAACTTTGTCTGGAACAACTTTTGGTCTTGCTAACAGTGAAAAGTTTGTTTCGTCTTTTGGTACAAAAGTTTCTGTCAGCTTGTCATCTGGAATTGGTTCCAACAAACCTTTCTCGAAAAGAATGTTTACAGCTCTGACAATGTTGCACTTGCCTTTTCCGAACAATGGGTTTGTAAGACTTTCGTTCAACATGAAGTGGTTGTGGACAATTACAATCTTCAACCATGGTAAGTCTTTGTCAACAACATAGTCGTCATGTGAAGAACCTTTAGCTGTAGGTATGTTGACTCGAATATTCACATTTGCCAACGGTGCAATTTTTGCCAATTGACCTCTGAGAATGTACCTTGTCTTCACACATGACTCAAGATACTTCATCTTCTCATCTGTAACAAGACCAGAGTTCCTGAGACATGTAAGAATGCAAGGTTCATTGACAATTGTTTCAATTGAATTGTAAATTCCATACCTTGTCAAGTCAATGTCAGACTTATTTATGAACGGGAAGTATCCAGCATGTTGTCTGACTGCTTGCGGGTTAGGTTGGTACCATTCAAACTTCACGCTTGCAATTCCTTCAATTGCATTCAAAATGTCTGAGTCGGAGTCAAACATTTGTTCTCTCTTTGTAGTCTTGAAAGCGTCAAGAAGTTGTGCGGCTGTTTGTTCATTGCCATGTGCATAGTAAATGTGACCATCCAAATCTGTTATGGTCAATCTGAGATTGTATCCTTTCTTATTTCCGTCTTGTATGGCAGCAAGTACTCCCATGAAGCCTTCTTTGTTCTTTCCTTCGTCAAAGTTTACTGTAAAGGTTCGACCAGATGTAATTTGACTTCTAACTTCACGGTACTTCTCATATGCATATCTTGTTCTTTCCATGGGAGCATGACCATCCTCTGCACTACCTTTTTTCCTTCTCAAAGGATGCAATTGTTCGTCATGTTTCCAGTAGAATCTGGCAAAGCCGTCGTGTCCTTCAACTTGAGGTTCACTAACATCGAAAGGCATGTCCATAAGACGTTCTTCTTCTAACCTCTCTAGTCTGTTTGGATAGTTGGCGCGCGCTGTTTCTAAGTCCATCTCGTAGCGAAGACCAGCCAGTTTGTCATAGACTTTTATTGGTCTTCCCTTCCTATATTTAAACTTCTTTGAAACTCTCCAACCATATCTTTCTAACTCTGCTTTTATTTTAGCAGACCTTCTATCCATTCTATACGGGGGCATTTTTATAAAAATAAAAAAATGTTTTTCTTTTACTTTACATAACCACCTGCTGCCATAAGCCTTTGACGCCAACCCATACCAGCTAATGAAGGTTGACTTGGTTTAGTTTGGAAACTAAACTTTGTTTTTGGTTTATCTTCAGTTTTTGGTTTTTCTTCTTCTATCGTTTTTTCGTCACTTTTCGGTTCCTCTGACTTTACCTCACTTGCAGGTATGGTTGTGTCGTCAACATCTTCGTAAATATCATATGCCATTTGTTTTTGTTTTCCTTTCAACTTTTTGTGTTTGTTGTAAAGTTTAGAATATTTCGACTCTAAGTCAATGAGATGTTCTATAATGAACTGTTTGTCAGTGAAGTAAACTTTTCCATCTGTTGTCTCGAAAGCTCCTTCAGACTTCAATATTTTATTTGTGAGAGTCTGTTTCTTTTTTGAGATACTAGCCGTTCCATTTCTATGAAAAGTGACTTTGTAGTTAGGGTTTGTATTTCCAGACCTGGCACTTTCTATTATTGAATTTTTCTCTTCATCTGTAAGTTCTTTGACAGGTTTTGACAATGGTTCTGAACTTTTTGTTTGTGGTGTCAAATCTACCGTTTCAACTTCTTCGGTCATTTCATCTCAGTAAAAAATTTTAGTTTGGTTTGTTTTCAACTGGTTGTTTAGGTTTTTTAAGTCGGTCTAAAACTTCCTGAGGTATAGGAAGAACTTGACAAACACGTGGTGTAACTGCTGGAAGTCGACAAATCCATCTTGAACCCATTTGTCTCAATGCTGTATTGTTCATTTCATCTCAGTAAAAAACTTTACATTCCCCAAGTTTGAGGTGGTTGCGGTTGGTTATTGTTTACCCACTGTTGTGCATGGTTATATCCTCTGTTAAAGAATCTTTCACCTTGGTCCATATAGTGTCCTGCTTGGTTATAGTAGTCATTTGCTTTGTTATAATAGTTTCCTGCTTGTCTTCCTACATTGTCCATCCATCCTTGAACTTTTCCTCTTGTTTCAGGATTTGGAATAAGATTTGCTGCATCTCGTGCTACATCCCAACCTTTCTGTACAGTTTGTATAATAGGTTGTGCTTTCTCTTTAAGTATACCTAATGTACTCAAAATCTTCCTTCCAATTCCAAATGCACCTCTGGCTATTGTTCCCACTGCGGGCAAAAATCTGGATGCAACTCCTGCTAATGCGCCAAATAAACCCATTTCTTATGGGTTAAAAAATGACGAATCCAAACAAGGACCCCTATGTTTCTAAAGCAACAAAGAAAGCACTCATGGTAAAAATCTTTAGTTCAACACCAAATGCTTGGTTTATGGATATCTTGGAAAACATTCCGAGGTATAGAGAAGATGGACCACCATACTGGCTAATATTTGTCGGTCAAAACACAAGATACTGTGAAGCCATACCATTATGGTCCAAAGCTATTTTAGATGTGAAAACTGCTTTGACAATATTCGTTGACAAATACCATCCAACAAAACTGACATCTGACTGTGAAAGTTCTTTCAAATCAGATGATGTAAAAAACTATCTGCGTTCAAAAAATGTAAACCAATATTTCATTGTCGACCAAAACCATTCTGCTCTTGGTGTCATTGACGGTTGTATAAAAATGTTAAGAGACTTAAACCAACCACAAGGTGGTGAAGCAAATGAAATGTCATATGACGACAAGTATAGACACTTCTCCATGGCAAAGATGAGACAAGTTTTAAATATTTACAATAACCGTAAACAAAAAGGTTTGGGAAACCACTCCCCCGAAGAAATGAAAAACAACCCTGACTTAGAGAAAGACTATATATTTAATAATTTAGTCAAAAGAGACAAACAAGAAAGAATGCCGGGCTTCAAACTTCAGAAAGGTGACAAAGTAAAAATAGAAATACCCAAACGCGACCCATATGAAAATACTATTGACTATGACAACAATGGGAACCCGACAGGTACTCACATTCGTGTTCGTAAAAATAGAAGAAAGTATACAAGAGAATATTATGAAGTTTTAGGCAAACATGGCAAAATGTACAGACTGCAAGCAGAAGATAAAACTACTATTGTCAGACCTCGTTTCAAACTTGTCAAAGTTCAAGGTGGTATACTTTCAAAGACAGTTCCTAACAAATATAAGACAACTCCTGACGAATATGCTAAAGAAGTTGAAAATGACGACTAAGCATTTCTATACCATGCGTAAACTGTCATGTAAGGTGGCATGTAGTCTTTACTTTGTCCCGTTGTTTGCGTATACCCTGAAACGAAATGTGTATGGTCTCCTCCTACCTCAGTGTTATCCAAGTAACAATTTATAGCAAACTGAACGTTGTCTTTAACATCATATCCTTTACCTTTTGTCATTCCTGTCCAATCCCAATATTTATGCCTATGCCCACCTTCTCGAGATGTAGTTAAACTTACGTAGTGACTGTGCGCAGGTAAGTTTTCACCTGAAATCGTTTTACTTCCACCTGTTTCCTTTGAAGAGTTTGCACAATACAAAAACCTGTCGACTATTTGAGTCCAAGTTCCAAAACCAAGTACTGTTTCTGGTCTGGTAGAGTTCATTGACGTATAAATAGAGCCAACCGGGTAAATAAGATTCGGCAAAATTTGTTTAAGCACATTGAGTTCCTGTCTTAGATGTATAATACTATTGTCATTAGATATCAAAGTATCTACAAGACTTGTTGCCGGTGGTATTGTTGGAGCTTTACTTGGCAAGGTTGTGTTTAGTGTAATATCATCTGCTGTAAAAGTTGTAAAACTTGTATGTGTATGGTTCTTGTCTGCTTTCTTGTCATATAAATCTTGAGCAGTGAATTTAACGTTATTTTCATCCTTCATGACATAAACATCTTTACATCTAATGTTTCTCATCGTCGTTATGTCGTCATCCGATGTTAAACCTTGTGGAAAGTTAGGAGGTTTACAATATAATACATCCCCATCAGGTTCTTCAACCGTTCCTTCAATACTTTCTATAGCAACAGTTGTAAAACTTGTATGTGTATGGTTCTTGTCTGCTTTCTTTTCAAGGCTAACGTTTAAGTCTGTTATTTCAGAAGATGTATGTGTATGTCCAACGGCACTTTTCCTGTTTAAGGTTTCTTGTAAGTTTGTAATATTTGCAATGGTATGTGTATGAGTCTTTTTAGAATATTCGTTTTCAGCTCTTGTCACTTCACTTGACATTTTATTGTCAACATATGTTTTGTCTGCTAGTTCAGGATGAGTATGTTCTTTTGTTGCATAAGCTTTGTCAGCTCTTTCTTCTTCTTTTGCTATTGCATCGTCTACATATGTTTTGTCTGCTTTGTTGTCAACATCTGCTTTCAAAAGAAGTTCAGATATAGGTTTCTCGTTTAAAGTTCCTTTTGTTGGATTTATACAGACAGTATGGTTCTTATTGTCTTGAAATAGAAACTCATCTGTCATTGGGTTTAATGTCAGTTTTAAGTTTCCTTCTTTCAATGACTCAGATATCTTAGAATAGTTTGAAAAGTTTGTTGTGTTCTTATTTAGAGCTTGTATAATGAGTTGTCGGTTGTGTTGTATTTCTCTCATAGACGCTGTTTCATTTGACATTTTTATTCTAGATAAAATATGCTTTCAATAGAAAAAGAAAATTCTAGAGTTGCTACAACTAAACCATTAGATGAACTTTTTACTAATGTCGGTCAAAAGTTTGAGACAGAGACCGTAAAGCATGAAGGCTATCGTTTTGACTACCCGTTAAGATGGTTAAGAGACCCATCTGTCACAAAAGCTATTGGCTTTCGTAGAATGAAGTTCATTTCAGAAGCCATACATGGTTTCCCATTTACAGTCGGTTTTGAAGTTCGATACTATAACAAAGAAAAACGTACGTATGAGAAATTTGAACAGGGAAAACTTTTACAAGTGAATTTGCTTGTAAACTTAGAAACAACTCTTCAAGCTTTTCAAGAAAAAATAAACGATATCTATCTCGAATATGCAAACCAGTATAACATTGACGAGGGAGAGTACCATCTCGATATTATATATGACAGGAAAAATGCAACTGTTAAAATCAATAAAATAGAAGACCTTGGAGAAAACGTTTATATTTCTACAAAATATAACAACTTGGCATGGCATAGATTTTTGAGGATGTTAAATCAGCCTGCAGCATATCCAGTACACCCGGACTATTATGAAGTCGAAAACCCTAATGGAACATATGAAAATATTTTCGACCAAGATGCTATTATTGTTCATGCTTCATTTTCTGGCGCGCAAAACTCTTTCTTATGTCTGATGAATGACTTTTACGAAAAACCTACAAAGTTATACGAACCACCAAGTGGAAGTATTTCAGACTTTCAAGTATGGTTTACTACAGATGGAAGAAAAAGAATAATTCCATTATACCATGCGTTTTACTTAGAACTTAGTTTCATATACAACTACTATCGAACAATAAAAATATAATTTTTTAATACGGTTGAGGTGTTGGATTTGGTTGCCAACTAGACTGTGGTGCAGGTTCAGGCTGTTGTATAACAGGAGCTTGTTCTTCTGGTTCAGGGTCTTTAGGTATAATACCAACAAACTGACCTACTCTTTTACCAATATTTTTGACACCGTTCCATACTCCTCTTCCGACAGATTTTATTCCATTCCATATACCTCTTCCAACTCTTCTGAAGAAGTTTCCAATACTACTGAAGAAACCCATTTTACTATATGTAAAAATCTAATGTCCGCCTAGTCTCTTACGTTTCCTGTTGAGTTCCATAGCATTCTTTAACTGGAGCTCATACATTCTGTTTCTCCTCTGGTAGAAAACATATTCTGGGTCAACTCCTGTGTTCGCGTCATCTGCATAAAGTTGTTTATATCCCACTTCAGGGTTTGTATAAAACTCTTTCCATCTCATATTTGCATACCATGGTGGCAAACCTAACGCAGCGTCATTTGACATGGCAGTTTGCATTTGTACATCTGTTGGCACTTGACCATAGTTTGCCATTGCAGTTTGTATTCTAACTTCATTTGGAATATTCTCTGGGTTTGGTTGTCCAGGTTGCTGTGCATTCGCTAAGTTCTGTGCGTCCATTTAATATTAGATAAAAATATCTCTTACGAGTACATATACTGAACATTTGCAGGCATTGGTTCATCTTCATATTCTCTGTACTTTTCTGCCACGTCAAATAAATAAATGACACAATGGAAAAAACCTAAAACAAGTAGTCCTATTTCAAACCACATTTACTTACTAATAAAATTTCTTTATTGTGACACTTTCTCCGGTTTATAGGACCTCTCTCATATTCTATCTTGTCATATATAAACTCATAGTCATGTATGTCCTCTAACCATCTCATAACGGTTTCCAAACCACTTTTATCGGATGTAAAGTAAAAGCATGGATGGTTATGTATAACGTCTAAAGTTTCTAAAGAGTCTCTCAAAGTCCAGTCTACTTGGTATTGAAAATCCCATGTGTTATAGAACGGCGGGTCCACTATAAAGAAAACATTTTCCTTGTCTTTATATTTTTCATACAACTCTGTCCAACGACATCTCACAAACTCTATACCCTCAATATATTTTTCTATGTTCTCTTTGAAAACATTTGTATAGTTAAGATATAAAACTTTTGACATAAGTGTTTCAATGTCATGAACTCTTATAGAACCACTATATAATAGTCTAGCAGATATACTATCCCAGTCTATATATTCTGCTTTTTTCAAAACCTCTCTCACAATATCTTTCTTATCTAATGGTATACGTTCCATCTTACCTATAGGTATCTTTTCTTTTAACTCTTTCAATATATTGTTTGTGTCTGGAATATGTTTGAGACGGTCCATATAGTTGTCGAAGTCATTGCATATAATCTTTGAGTCAGGAAATACGGTATGACATAAATGGGACATATAGAAACTTCCACCGAACAAATCTACAAATGTTAGACCATTCGGTAGTTTCTTAAGTTCTCTCAATAGAATATCTTTACATCTACTCTTATTTCCAAAGAACGGTAACGGTGGTTTTGTAAAATTCATTTATATATAATAATAAAAATGTTTTCACCCGAAAAGTGACAGAAAAGTGACAAAACATGAAAACATATATAATTTGTGAAAAGCGACACATTATATAATGTTTTCGACCCAGAAGAAGGCTTCTTCCCAGAAGCAATGGAGGAAGAAGAAGAGTCCTCCGAATTCACACCAGAAGACTAACAATTTTCCGAATAAAAACTTCATTTATACTAAACATCTTCGGGGCTAGAGGGCACGAAGTGCCTGGAAGCCCCAATACCTTTTTTTTTTTTTTTTTTTTTTTTTTTAATAGATATCACAATAGTAGAGCAGAGCATTGCATGATCAAGTGCTTTTCTTCGATTTTTCTTTTGATAAATTTGATTCCTATTTGATATTTTTTTTATTTTATTTTATTATTTTTTGTATATGCAACTATTGCCATTCTTTTTTAATGGATTTGATTTTTAATAATGGTCAACTCCAAATCTGCAAATTCAATTTTAAATAAGGTCGCCAAAAAAAGTGCGGAAATTAAAAACCGCAGTTTGAGTACTTTCTGAGAGTCTGTTTGTCAGAAAGTATACATTTGTAAACTTTCTGACACTAAAATTTTTTTGGTCCTTTCAAAGTTTTTGACAATGTCAAAAAGTATACATCGGGGCTCTCAATTTTCCTCTCAAACGGCGGTTTTTTAAAAACGCACATTTTTCCATCGACCTTAAGGCTGCACTTACGCCCATCTGAATTTAATTCAAATTTATGACAACCGGCGTGAAGCGTTATTGAAAAATAACCTTAAACATGTCATGTTTTCAATTCAAATTTCTGACAACTGGCGTGAAGCGTCATTGAAAAAGGGTCATGTCATGTCATAGGGGCGTAAGTGCACCCTTAATCGTTTTTGCGCATTTTTTTGCACCCTATGTAAAACCCAGAAAATAAAAAAAATATTCAAAATAACGATCATTTATAATTTCAAAATACATTAAATTTTTTTTATTGTGTAGCTTTTCTTCTTGGTCTCTTTGGTCTTTCAACAGTTCTCTTTGGTTCTTCTTCTATGACTTCTTTCTCTTCCTCCGATTCCTGGTGTACGGAAGGTTTCTGAGGTGAAGGTTGTGCAGAAGTCTTTTTCTTTCCTTTTATTTCTGCAATATTTTCTTTTTTGACAGTTGGCAAATTTTCTTTTTGGTTTAGAATGAATTCTTTTGCTTTATTTGCATCATATACTTCTTTCTGTTTATTCTTTGACTGTTCTATGATGTAGTTAATTCTCTCATTAAATACCGCGTTTATATTGTTTTCGAATGCCTTCGATTTCGACATATTGTCTGAGTTTATGTATTCCATCAATGAATCTTTCAAAGAATCAAAAGAAATGAAATTCAAATCACTCGGACTGATTTTTTGAGACAAAATGTCTTCAATTTTGATGTGTTCTTGTTCAGAAATATATGATGTCTGTTTTTCAGCCTTTTCGGATTGTTTAGTTCCGGAATTTGCCTTTTTAACAACATATCTGAACATTTTCGTCGGATTCGCAACTAATTCTTTGTATTCATCAACTAATCCTCTCAAATTTAGTGATGAAGGACTCAAAGTTGATTCAACATCGATTCTCATGATGGGACGTTGACGCTTTGGTATTGTTTTACCATCTTTGTCCATGAATTCTAACAATTTGTCGTCAATTTGTTCTTTGATATAATTTAATTTGTCATTTTCAAAACCGAGACCTTTGTTGTCGATCTCGATCTTGTCGTAAATGAATGTTCTGGGACTTTCTAGCTTAATCTCTTCAAATTTGTCAAAATCAGGATTTTGAGAAATTGTTAATATCGCCATTGACCTCTGCATCGCGTTTTTCTTCCTAAACTGTGTATAAACAGTGCTGCCGGGCTGTGTAACATAGATATTTCCGTATTTTTTCCTTTGGATCAAATTTTCGTGTTCGTGGCCCCAGATGACCAAATCAACGTTGTGGGGATTGGTTTCACTCCATATGGCATCGGAAAGTCGTGTGGCCATGACTCCAATGTCATGATCATATGATGACATATTTTGATGGATCATTAGAATGGTATACGTACGTTCAAACTCACCTTCTTCGGGTGCAATGAGTTTTAGCTTCTTCCCCATGACTACTTCTTTGAACTTTTCTTCAAATATGTAACCTAATCCGTAAACTACGACTCTGATCGTTCCTCGCTTCAAAACAATAGGCTGGAGTTCAATAGTTTCCTTAATATCTACTGGCTTGAAGAAGTTTAAGTACTTGGAGACTGATAAAAGTTGAATTGGAGATGTGGAGCCGAGACCATTTGGAGCATCGTGATTTCCATGCATGCAGAAGAAAGGTATCTTGATGTTGATGTTAGGATTAAGCCAGTTTGGATCTGAACTCAATCCTTCAGAGTATAAAATTTCTGGTGGATTTCCTTGGCCAATGACGAACTCATCTAATATTTTCATTGTCTTTATAACAGCGTATCTAGATGGATTTCGCTCGTTAAAGAAGTCCCCTGCATGCAAAATTATGTCTGCATTTTGAATATGAGCATTTTGGACGCATTCTTTGAATGCTCTGAAAGAATCCTTTTCAGTTATAGCATCTTGTTCATCATATCCAATGTGTGTGTCTGTAAATATTGCGATTTTAAATGTATCTTGTTGACTTTCTCCCATTTTTGAAATTTTTTTTGTGAATTCCCCGGGGAAGTTTCTCAATTTGTAAAAAATTTCTTCCACTTTGATAGATGGAAGAAAACAAAGAACACACCTTTAACCCCCAAAAGATGGTCACCTTTCCAAATTTTTTTCAGTCTATTATCTTATTTGTCAATGATATGACTTGAAAGAATCAAATTCTGATCCTATCATTGGTAATATAGGTAGTAAATACGTTATGAATGAGATATATCAAAACAAAATAGATTCTTATGCTAATAAGAAAACTAATAGAATAACTTAATATTTTAATGTGTTATAGAACAGTACATGTTAATTGCATAAGTTTTATTAAGAATTTATTTGATATTTCATGTGCTAATGTTTCAGATCCAAGATGATTTATCAGATTCATTATTGAACAATAAAATAAAACAGAATTTATGCTTTATTGGAGATCGACATTAACAGCATATTATTGGTGTACCTTAGTTGCTTTGATAAAGCTTCATTCATGATTTCAAATTAATTTTCCATATATTTTATATGTCATATACTCACATAATATTGTTAATCTTTAATACATGTGTGAGGATAAACTAGTTCATCACTTAAATTATGTTAATTATAACTACACATCAGTTTGTGGAAAAAGATCTTTATATAGTGATTCGCTCTTAATAAAATGAACCTTGAAAATAGATTGTTATAGCATAGAAACATATAATTCTACTTCGGTTCCATCCTTTATAATGTCCGTAGGTTCGTCTGGATTTCTTTCATATTTTTTATCGAGAGAGGGTCAAAGTTGCTATTTGTCACTTTTCCACAAGAATATAATGGGGAAAAAGTTATCATATAGTTGATCTCATTCACTGAGGTGAAAGATGCATGTAGTGTAATGGGATAAATAGTGGGATTGGTGCTCTAAGTCCTAGGTTCGAGACACATTGACTTCATTTTTCTCTTTTTTATTGACGTAAACTATTCAATTTTTGTGTTCTCCATTCAAATTTCAGAATTTTTTTGCAGATTTCACGCTACATTCGAAGTTACCTTTTGTAACAACCACCACCGCCTACGAAAGACGAAAGTGTGTCACGATTTCACCCGGAAATCCGACGGTTGTTTAAGAGTAAGCACTTTTGGCACCTACTCATTTTTTATCGAAGCAGATTCAATCATGTTTTCCAAACTCAGGCACACCGAATGCAAAATAATATACTCTACCAAATGATCATTATCTCACTTTTTAATGAAAATTGATTCATCATCACAAATTCAAAGTAATTTTGTTTCGTGATCCAAAATTATAGATATATATAATGAGCTTATATGATTTACCGACTCCTTTTCTCCTAATTCAATTCAACATAACTTTTTTTTAATATTACATTTTTATTGTATTGAGAATTTATTAAATCTAAAAGATTATTCGGGGGATGAGGTGTTTATGAATTGAGAATTATCGTTTTTTTATATTTTATACTAAAACTCGATTATTATTATAAATTTAGAATCTATACGTAAAATTACATATATTTTCATCTATTGCGTAATGAAAAATCGTTTTTATTGAAAGTGAATTTTGTATTGAAATATTCTGGCTCGTAGTTTTAAAATTTTGACACTGAAAATTCAATTGATTGTAAAATGAATATCAATTTTTTCTGAGCAACTTTTCACTAAAAATGAAAAATGCATTTCCTGAACATCTCGGAAACTACAACATCAACAAAGTTATAACCTCAGATGGAATCATCCAATATGCGTTTGCAACTAATGAGATTACTTATGCAGACAAACTTTTAAAAATTTTTAATCGTGAATTATTAACTAACAGTGAATTGCAACCAGAGCTTGACAAAGAACTCAAATTAGCTCAATCTCTTATCAGTCGTGGTTTACCAACTGTAGAAAAAGTTTTTCAAGATCATAAATATGACGTTATTGTCATGGAAGATTTACCAAACGGAAATCTTAAAGATTACTTGAAAGTAAAGAAAAATATGCTTTATAATGACAAAATCAAATTATGCATCCGAATTCTTAATGGAATCATTTGCTTGCATGAACATGGAATGAACCATGGATGTTTGAATCCAGACAATATATATTTCGACTCCTTTGGAAATCCCAAACTCATAGGTTACGGATTACACGTCAAAGATCAGTCAACAGAGCTCAGCAACCTGATTTACAGAGCTCCGGAAGAAGTTAAACTTCAACGCAGGAACAATAAAGAAGCAGATATGTGGTCATTTGGTTTAGTCTCACACCAGATCGTTGCAAACAGTTTTCCATTCATTGTTGATGATGCCCAGCAGTACATTAAAACACTCATCACTGGTCAGCAGATCAGTCTCATATCAGTTGGAGGAATCTTAGATAAAATCGTCGAGAGATGCCTTGATCCAGATCCAAATACAAGAATTACATCTGATGGAGCAAGAGAGATGTTTGAAACTATCAAAGAATATAAGACACTCTTCTCAAAGAGTCTTGCTGCAATTCCGAGATTGCCAAAGCCAATGCATCAACCATTTCCAAGTTGCACTATAACACTGCAGGGAACAATCTCTAAGAGATATAGATCAAGCAGATACGAAAGTATTTAATATTTTTATTTTTATTTATTTGCGAGTTGTATAATATAAGGAAACATATTATAATAAAGAGCGAAAATATATAGTATTATAACTTTGAATTTTGCTTATCTTTTATGAAATTTTGTTATTGAACAAATCAATCCCATTTGAAGATTATTTCTTTCAATGAAATATTCATTTGTTATTATTAGATGTACTTTTGATGGATCTTCAAAGGTAGGAACACTTATTCATACCCAAGATTTTGACTTGATAGATCCAATCAAATTTTGTAAATATTTCAAATTTTATCTTGTAACCAAATATTTTCATTTTATCGATAACTCTTCAGAACTCGTAATTTCAGATTTTCAAGAATAAAATTGTCATTTGAATTCAAAAATAAAATGGAAAAACAAGAAGAACCAAGTAGTCAATCAGATCCTTCGAGAGATGATCCAGAATTCCTCGATGAAAACGGAATCCCTATTAAATCACCAGTGCATTTTCTTTTTGGTTCAAGATTAATATGGAAAAATGAAAATCGAAGTCGTATTTTTTGCAAATATACATCTTGTACAATGTTTCCATACTTGTTAGTTATTTCAATGATGCTATTTAATTTATATCTATATTATAAAATTTTCATTCCTTTAATTCCCGAAAAAATGCATTTCACTTTATACACAGAAACATTCTTTTGCCTATACGCTATTTTTAATATGGAAATTGCACATAGGAGAAATCCTGGATACCTTCCATGGAGTTGGTCACTTACAAAGAAGAAAAAATACACATTTATGGAATTAGTTGAAGGACATGCCACAACAAAAGAGCAAATTCACTTTGCAAGGAAGAAAGAAATACCAAAAAGAGGTTGGTTTTCAGGTCAATACGGTTTTATGATATTACGAGCTGACCATGCATGCTTCTGGATGGATCATTGGATTGGTATAAACAACCACAAATGGTTTGTTCTTGCTCTTATCAATGGCACAATATTTCAGTTATTTGGTTGGCTCGTAGCTGTATACATTCTATTTTTCATAGGATTTCCTTATAAGTGGTATATCGTATTAACAATGATTGGAATTGAAGGTTTCTTTTCAGTTGTTGGTTGTGGGCAAACTTTTATTCAAATATATAATCTCTTCACAAATACAACAGTTATTGAACGTTTGAACAAATGGAAGAAGAAGTTCTACCATGGTCCATGCTCTGGATGGACAGAAGTTTGTGGACCCTTGAAATATTTGCCAACCTGGTTCATACCATTCAGATTTGGTGAAATTCCTGATGGATTTGGTTTCCAAGAATCAGACAGATGGGCTCCTCCAAGGCAGAAAGGAACTGAAGAAGAAACAAAACCATTATTATAAAATTAATCCTCATTACTTAGATTAATTAGATATATTTGCACATTGTAAGTAAATAAAATGTTATTTTCTTTGTTATTATACTTGAATTTTTAAATTTTGAGAATTTTTGTAAAAAATCAAGAAAAAATTAAGCGGAATTATATCATCATGCAAATAATGAAAGATTTAAATTATCAAAAAAGGTTTATTTGTTCAATCAAAAAAGCAAAAATAATTTTTTCGAATTAATCAAATATATATATATATATGAAACATCTATGACTTACTCAACAGCATCTGGTGGTGAAATGTTCCAGATCTTAACTGTTTTATCTCCAGATCCAGAGCAAAATGCCAAAGATGTTGGATTAAAATCACAAGAAATGATTGAATTGGAGTGGCTCTTGATACTATAAAGAGCCTGACCCATTTCAAGGTTGATAAGCTTCATTGTCATATCCTTTGAACCGGATAACAACCATTTACCAGTTGGATCAACGGCAACAGCCAAGACGTAGTCTGTGTGCTGTTTAATTGTATTAAGAAGCTTCATTTCGTAATTTCCACCTGTTTCGACGATGTCCCAAATCTTGATTGATGCATCTAAGGAGGAAGTGATCAAACGGTGTGTATTTGGTATAAATACTATAGCGTAAACACCAGCGGCATGGCATTCTGAAGTAAGTAAGAGTTTTCTTTGGTCTATATCGAAAATACATACGTTTTTATCATCATAACCGACCGCGACGAGTTTGTTATCTGTAGAAACTGCTAAAGAAGCAGCAACAACATTTTCTACGATTCTCTTATGAGTCCAAAGCTTGGAGTATGTAAGAGCATCCCAAAGACAGAGGGAACCATCGCCTGCTGCTGTAACAAAGTACTTACCGTCGGATATGAATTTAATTTGGAATATGCTTGCTTCGGAATCAATTGTTCTGATTGGGGTTGCATTTTCTTCTTGACCTTCTGTGAGTTCAAAAACGCGAAGCTTGCGGTCTTCGCCACCACAAATTAACTGATTGCCATGGGGTGTCCATGCAATGGAACGGATGAAGTTTGGCTGGCTGCTATCGCCTTCAATTTGAAATTGAAGGATAAATTTATCGTTTTCGGTATTGTAAATTCTCATTGCATTTGATCCGATAGCTAAGCAGGTTCCATCAGGAGAATAGGCTGTCGCGCAGATGATTGAAAAATCAACAATTTCAGCAACAAGAGATATGTAAACAGGACATTTCTCGGAGCCTGGTAGTGGGGTGGCCTTCCAATCTTGCTGGTCTTCCTCCATTGGTGATTGAGGCTTTTCTGTTTCAGGAGCCGGTTGTTGTCTTTGGGCAGCATGTATTTCTTGGGCTGCAAATTCTTCCTGGTGTTGCATATATTCAGCACGTAATTTTTCGAAATCAGAGTTGAGGTTTTGAATTTGTTGAATTTGGGAATCGATAAATTCGCGAAGTTTTGTGCAGTCATTCTGGAGCTTCGTTCTGTTTTCAAGAAGTTGGTCGTACTCAGAGGCTAGGTTTGTTAATATTCCTTGAATTTGATCGGCACTCAGGTATGACATCAAAAAAAATTTTTTTGTTGTGATAAAACAAAAATATTCATCCTTTTGAAATTCTTCAAAATTGCATTTTTAATAAATTCCAATCTAAAACAAATCCAAAACTACAGAAATATCGTGCTTCTCATATACCGTTATTTTTGTCACTTTCTTGAAAAGTGACGTTTTTGCGCGCCAAACATTCAAAAAGAATAATGTCAACTTTTTAAGTTTAAGTGACGACTTTCACATCAAATAATTATCACTTGTGTCTAAAAAAATTCTGACGAAAAGTGACTCGGGCGAGTTATATTATGGTCGAGAATTTATTTCTAACTCTAATTTTCTGATTTCTTCAAACAGTTTCTTGAGGGAAGACCAAAATTTTTGTTACGGGCGCGACCAAGACCAAAATTTCACAATTTCTGACAAAATTTACGTGTCAAAATCGTAGTTTAGCTTGAAAATCCTCAAATACTGATCATCATGTCTTTCAACTTTGGCATTATATGGCCTAGAATATGCTCTATCATATTATGCTATTAAACACATATGTTAATAAAATTTATGCAATTAAATAGGATAATTCTCATTGAATATGAGCGTATCAAATCGTTTATAATTGCCTCAGCATACTATAGTATCAACTGAAGTAGATTTAGCTATGAAATCTTAAAAATGAAGTATTCTGTATCGTATTCATTATATCAAATATAATATTGATGAATATCTACCTTTGGTCATATAGAATACATATATAGTGAATCCATTCTAGTAAATTGTTTCATTTTCTCCTGCAAATTTCCAAAGATGATGGTTAATATTATGATTTAAAAAATAAAATGTGTTTGGAAGGAGTTGAAACTGTAAGTATCAATAACATTGAAACTATGAAGCAACCTATAAACAGAAAATAAAAATTGGAAGAAATTCAGAAATAATTTATTCATATTAGAATAAAATTGTGTAGATATTCTATCAATGATATTACTATATAAATATGTCATATGTGGATAACTATCTTTGTTTAAAATATGATTCATGAAGCTCATTGAATTGAATATCTGCGTTAAAGTATAATATAATGGATTTCAATATAGCACTTTGTTTGTATATTGTATGAAAGCTCAATCATATTGTGAAAATAAGTTGAAATCTAAATTTTATGATAAATAAGCAATTTCTTTGTGTGAAAATGCTATTTGATTGATTAACAGATTGAATATTAGACTTTAACTAATAAATATACAAAAATGTCATTGAGTTTTAGAATAATTCTCTTTGGTTCATGAAATTGAAGAATCTCAGTCAAAATCATCGATAAAAGGCATCCAAAGATGTGTTTTTAGCTTTATTGTGTAGATGTATTTTATTTATGATCAATAAAATTGATTTTATTCATATTATTCAAATATTGTCATTTCAAATTGATTATTTTGCCATTTTATTTCTGGATTTCAAATTATATTAGTATATAAATGAATAAAGCTATTAATTCACTCAATATCTCAATTTTGATATTGCGAGATATTTTTGCTATCGGTTTCGCAATTTTGACACAATAGCAAGAGGGTTCTATATGCATTATTATCAACGTAGAATCTGAATATCATATCAGAAAATGTCGCAAATCTGACATTTACCCGACCAAATAGCAAAAATAATTGAATACTTTTCGCAAAAACTTTAAAAATCGATAAAAATATGAAATATAGATATTAAAGAGACTTTTTATATAATATTCATAAAGATTTTCCAAAAATATGATACCGCAAAATTAAAAAAGTGGTAAAAAGGGGGTTGGCGTCCTAAGGCGTCCTAGTGTAAATTTCTCAAAATTGTGATATTTACATCACATTTTTGAGAGGTTTATGGGCGTCCTAAGGGAAAATTGAATAGCTAGGGCGTCCCGAATTTTCATTCTAAGATTTAAATATATTATATACTTAAGTATAATACAAGCAATATAAAAATTAAATTTTTATTATGTTAACTTATAAGAAATTTTTTTGAATTATCGTTGATTTATTGTAATCTTTCCAGGCTATACTTTTGAAATCAACTTTACCTGTCATACGCATTAATGTAGTAGATGTCCAGGTGTAGCTATTATATCCCAGCAACATTGGTATTTTATCATTGTAAGATATCAAAATGAAGCGTTTTTTCAGATATAATTTTTCGTAAATTTTTCAAAAATAAGATGGTAAAAAAGCCTCGACTTGCTCGAAAAATAACAATTTTTTTACTTGTAAAAATAACCCTTTTACAGCATGGGCAGCTATTCAATCACTATTTCTTTTTCTAAAAGTATATTTTTCAAAAAAAATTAAGATCAAATTCGACAATTTCTTGATGAAAGCAAAAATATTACACATACTTCTAGATGCATGGGATAAAATATGCAATTATTCAATCAATTCGCATGATTTGAAAAAAAAATCTAAATTTGATAAAAATGTAGAAATTTTTTATTTTTAACTTGAGATTCGATTTTTTTGATCCAATTTGTGAATTTTTTTTTGATCGGAATTTCAATTAATTTGTTGATCAAAAATGACCTCACAATGTTTGATCATAAGTGAAGTCATCTTCATGGGTATTTAGAAATTCCAAGAGAAATTGCTTATTTCTCGCAGATGTAATATCTGAGAAAATCGAATTTAAATATTCATAGAAACCCAAATCATTCTCCGGTTCGAATAATTCATCTGTTGCTTTTTCTGTTTTTTCTATGAATTTTAATAATTTGATTAATAAATCTTCATCAGGAAGAATTATTGCTGCATTTGTGATAAAATTCCATATTGAGGTAATATGGCAATAATTACATTTATAAAATGTAATTTTATCCAAAATTTTTTGGCAAATTCGCATAATAGCATTAATATTTGAAGCTGAGATTAAACCTGTGATTACTTCTGTAACTTTTGGAAAATCATCGCAATTTAATATCTCTTTATATTGAATTGAGAAATAAAAAAAATCAAATGGATTCATTTCTTCAATTTCAAGGAGATTGTAAAAATTGATAGAAGTGTTATTGCAACAAATTGTATTTGCAGCAAAAAATATCATTTGCTCGATTCCATTTTTGGAATAAATTTGCTGGAACAATGTTAAATTAAAACAGTTGCTTAATTTTTCTTCATTGTTTTCATAAAAAAGTAACAAGTTTGCAACTGAAATTTCAAAATTTTGATAATTGCCAGTTATTTCAGTAAATATATATATTTGCTTTTCTTCATCTAAAAATGGCAAATATTGATTTGCAATATTAACTAAAGTTTGGGATAAATTGTTCCAGTTTGATTTTACAATTTGTGAGCACATTATGTAATATGTAAATTTATCCGCTTTGTAGGAATTTAAAATTGTTTGTTGTTCTGTTTCAGTTAAATTACTGAATTTTTCAAGATTAATATTGTGATAAAAAATAGAATCCTTGAAACATTCTGATATCTTTTCAATGTTTAAAACGGATGCTAAAAAATGTAAAAGAACTTCATCAGTCACTGTGATTTTTTTGAAAAATTTATCCCAATTCAAGCATCCAATTGATCTTTCTGTCATTGTACTTATGCATTGATAAAGTTGATTTAATGAATCCGAAGAATAATCATTATGCTTGACTAGTTGAGTTAGTTGATACAGACTGTCGTCAGCCATTTTAAAAAAATGAATAAAATTGTATAGTAAATTATATTTGTGAAATTTGTGACGCTACATTCAATCTAAGACCAATATCTCAAAGAATTCCTCATTTAAGTATTACTTTTCATTGTTTTTTAAAAAATATCTTTGCTTATTTGTTCACTTTTTTGACATTTATTATATGCTTTTTATCATATTTCCGATGATATGAATATATATTCTATATAAGAATGACGCTACATTCAATCTAAGACCAATATCTCAAAGAATTCCTCATTTAAGTATTACTTTTCATTTTTGATTCAATTTTCGAACGGTTTTCGTAAATTTTGCATCATTTCATTTTTTAATGGGAAAATCATCTATATTTAATCAAAAAAGAGCAAACTTTACAGACGAAAATAAAATATTTATCAGGGAACAATCTGATAAATACCAAAAATCAACATCGAGAGATGAAAAAACGAATATAATCAAACAAGTTCTTCAATATTTTAATATTAAATACGCCGAAAATGAATCTAAAGCTGTCAGAAGATATTTTAGTTATATTGCAGTTAAAAATATTCCCGCAGTTACTGGAAAATATCCTGATACAATTGTTCGCAAAGATATGCTTTATTCGCATGATCATACAAATATTATTAATTCAAATAATATTGAACGTTACTACCGTTGCATCGATCATTCTTGTCAAGCACGTTATTTAGTTAAAATTGAGAACAGTTCAGTTTCCGAAGATTTACAAAAGGAACATATACCCGAATGCAGACAATTTAAAAAGTTACAAAATGAAAAAAATGATCTTCATAAATCAATGACTCTGACAGAAATATACAATAAGGCAATGGCAAAATTTTCTGAAGACAACGGCACTTTTCAGCAGATTAAAAAATTTATGACAGAACTTGCTGTTGGTACTGATGAAAACCCATTAATTAAAGATTCATTGGTCAGGGAAGTTTATAATAAGTCCAGAAAATTTTCTGTTGGAGAAAAAATTACAGACGATGAAATTGCTAATTTTTGTTTAATAAATGGCGAGCAGTTTTTCATTGGCCATGATTTTCAAGCAAATTGTGAGACGATGTTTTTTGGTTTTGAGAAGGCAATTCAATTTGCAAAAGAAGCCACAGATTTATTTTGCGATGGAACTTTTAAAATTACACCAAAACATTTTCAAAAAGGACAGATGCTAACAATTATGATTTGTGAACCTTCAACAAATCAATATCTACCACTTTTATTTATATTCATGAAAAACCGCACATTTGAATCTTATAAGAAGGCATTTGAATATATTTTTACTGTCAAGGGTATTCAATTTTCAAAGCTAATTCAAATTCATTGTGATTTTGAAAAGGGAATGA